AAACCCAGCCTGGACTTCTGGTAGTTCTCTGTTGATGTGCTGTTCCAGTCGTTTTTGGATAATCTTCAGTAAAATCTTGCTTGCGTGTGAAATCAACAATGTGTAGTGTCTCATAATGAGTATTTGCTAAATAGATGAAAAAATTCTTTTTTTAACTGAAAGACTAGGATAAATGTAATTACACTAACCTTTAACTAATACTGGGGGCTTTCATGGCATAGTTCACAGGCAGTTGTGATGATTATCTAGGGTTTCTGCAGGAAAAAGATGGACAGTCTCCTCTTGCAAGTCACAGCCTTAGAAATTCAGTGGAGGTCAGCCATGAATTGGTTTCATTCAATGGTAAGGAGTTTGTTGTTGTTGTTGTGTTGTTATGTGCCATTGAGTCTCTCCTATGACTCATAGCAACCCAGTGTACAACAGCCCTAAAAACCTGTTCTATCCTGTGCCAATTTTGTTGTCTCTGATACACCTATCCTCATTACCCCAATCACTGAATCAATCCATCTCATCCAGGGTCTTCCTCTCTTGTGCTGTCCTCCATCCTCCCAAGCATGATGTTCCTCTCCAAGGACTGGTCCCTCCTTGTAACATGTCCAAATTATGTCAGACAGTGTTTCAGAATCCTTGCCTGCAAGGAGCAGCCTTGTCTCACCCTCTCTAGGACGAACCCCTAATAGTTCATGGCCTATTCAGTACTCTTCTCCAGCACCACAGCTCAAAGGCAAGTTTGAGTTAGATAAATATTACTGCCAAACAGGTTTCTGTGATGCTTAAAATTTGTCAGATACATTTCTCCTTCATCCCTAATGTATTTTACCTCCCACCTTCAATCATCATCAGCAACCAGTTGTTTACTATCCTTATTAAGGTGCCATTAAGTCGACTGAATCATAGCAACTTATGACAACGAACAGATCAAAACCTTGCCCTGTCTGGTTCAATCCGCAATCATATCTGCCGTGCTCTAGCCCATAGTTGTGCACTGTAGAAGAGAAATCATAACCAAAATATGTGTTTTTCAGGGAGTCAGCTCTCTGTAGACAGACGTCACCTGGTGCTTTCTTCGGGCACGCTGAGAATTTCTGGAGTTGCCCTTCATGATCAAGGCCAGTATGAATGCCAGGCCGTCAACATCATTGGCTCCCAGAGGGTTGTGGCACATTTGACGGTACAGCCAAGAGGTACATGCTTGGATCGGGTCATCATTCCTTTATTCTGAGACTGTTCTGCAACCTCATTTTTACTGTTTTTTACTTACCATCATGTGACAAATTCTTTAAATATTTACAAAGTGCCTCCTTAGATCTCTTTCACTAGTGAAAGATTATTACATTTTTAAAGATGCTTGAACTGGACCCTGATAAGGCCAGCTTGTTAAAACCATTTAACATTTTAGATGGACTAGTTAATAATTCTTTATAAGAGAGTGCCTTTAAGGAGCAAAGGGTTTAAAGGCATCGACTCACAGAGGCCCAGTTTTGGTTTTTGCCTCCTTGTACCCTGGTGAATGTATTCCTGCCTTTTGTGTGTCCCCCTTGGACATATCATTTGAGGTTTTTTTAGCCTTCTAGGATGCTCATATCTAGCTGTCTCGGATCTTTTTTATGAGATCTGTATAGAAAACATTAAGTAGTGTCTCTGAGTAGTTGGGGATAGCTGAAACAGCCTCTTAGGATGAAGTGGCAAAAGCTGTTTTAGAAACCAGATCTTATTCCACTGAAAGCTAGGCCTTAGAGACAAGAAATATAAGAGTGAGATGAGATTAAAGAGTCATAGAAATCTCATCTTACTCTCTTTTTTTGAGATATGAAACATTTTGGGGACATCCCTTCTTGTATCTTATTGACAATTTGTTAAAACTCAGCTTGGCATTACTAGCTTTGGCTTTTACAATGTTTCTTATTAAAATTCATTACTTAATAGGATTTAGGGGTTGGAGACTTTGACTTGTTTAGGAGAGAACTGATAGTGGAATGGAACTGACTAAACAAAGCAGACAAACAAAAAAAAATAATCATTACCCAGAACTCTTATCATATTCAGCCAGGGGTTTTCATTTTTCAGACGGGCAAAGCTAATTCTGGTTAACAGTGTATTGTCTGCCTCTAACCTGACTCACTGCAGGGTGCATTATGTTTCTTTCTACTAGACAACACTAGCTGGGAGACTGTACCCAGCAGCCAGGCCTCCATGTGGTGTGTAGCGGCTAGTGGGTGAAGGTGTGGGAATCCTGGAAGGACTCAGCGCTGGCAGAAATTGGGGCCAAGTCAAAGATTCGGGGTCATTGGTGTAAGAACGGGAGAGAGTTATTATTGACTATACTGTTTAAATGCTGGAGCTCATGTTGAGGTGAGGGGTGGAATACAAAGCAAATAGTTGGGCAGATGATCTCTTGATCCCTTGTAGCTTTATTCTATGAAGAAGTTTGGAGAGTAGAGAAAGCGCCTGTTACCTGCTTTAGGAAAAAGATGCTTTTGTGCTTTCTTAAATCCTTTTGTGTTTGGGTGGTATAAATTTCAAGTTTTCATGTTTTCTCCACCATTATCAGTTGTGTGTCCCTTGTCTTCTAGTTACCCCGGTTTTTGCCAGCATTCCAAGTGATATGACAGTGGAAGTTGGCACCAATGTTCAGATTCCTTGCAGTTCCCAAGGCGAGCCTGAGCCAGTAATAACATGGAATAAGGTAATAAATCTTGAGTGCTGGATGTCTTCTAGCACAGAAGAGCCATTTAGGCTTTACATCTGTTGTGAGAAGTTTTATTAAGCAAGGAGGGCCTGGCACCTGCCTGTTTCTTCTATAGATTTTATATCCAAGGAAATAAAAAAGTTCAAATTGGAAAGTTTGAGGCAAAGACATTCCAAGGGTATCCTGACTTACAAAACCAAAACAACCATGTGCTGAACATTCTCTTGTTCATGTCCTTCTCAGTGGCAACAGCAAAGAAAATTTCTTTATGAGACCCAAGATCTGATAATCAGTAAAGGGTTTGCTGTCTCAGTTTTCTGTTTGTTTTTCATTAAGCTCACTTCAGAAATTCTTAATAGTACTTTAAGACATTGAATAAGTGCTTTAATAGGAAGTAATGCCTGGAAGGCATAGAGGCAGAGATGGTGGTGTTTAGTGGTTCCCACCACCCACCGAACAAAGTGCCAAGTGTTTAAGCTTGGAGTATAAGGGACCTCTTTGCATGTTTCCCTGCTCACCCCACTGGCTTTACCTCACATCCTTCCTTTCTTCTTAGACTGTTCCAAATACAAAATCGGTGTGTAGCTTTCTCCTTGCAATTGTCTTTGCACAGGATACTCACCTGTTCTTTCTTTGTCTCTGAATCATCATCTGAGTCTCAGCTCAAGCGCTGTCTCTTTCAGGAAGCATTTCATAAGTTGTAATAGAGGCCTTTTCTTGCATTGCCCCCTGTGCAGTCCTTACCCTATTTTACCTGTTTCTCCTTTTGGGTAAATGCTATATCCCCTTCCTCCCTTATCCCCCTCCCCACCACCACTATCTTGGAAAATTCCATCCAGTACAGTTTTGTGTCTTAATCCTCTTTTGCTTTAAGCTTGAGCTCAACAAAGCAAAGGGCTTAAGAAAGCTTATTCCACTGAATTGGTATTAGTCAAATTGTATTAAATTTCACTGCTTTTCCAATTTTGAAATGATCTGAACACCACCCCTTAAGACATTTATATTTGTAAAGGCCTAGTGAGTGGCATTTCCCCTCTCCCCTTGCCATGCAAAACCCCCTTTAATTCTGATTGTTGTTTCATACTGCTCTAGGATGGGGTTCAGGTAACAGAAAGTGGAAAATTCCATATTAACCCTGAAGGATTCTTGACCATCAATGATGTTGGACCAGCGGATGCCGGCCGTTACGAATGTGTGGCTCGAAACACAATTGGCTATTCCTCAGTTAGTATGGTCCTAAGTGTAAATGGTAAGATTCTGTATGCACACAAAGGGTTTCTTATAACTCAAATGAAGCATTAAACCTACACAGTATCAAAGGCAACTGGGGTGGAAAAAAAATGCACAGACTTCCAGTGTAATAGAGGGTTCATCAGTAGAGAGTCTTTTGACTTTTTAAGAACGCATTCTTACAGGGAGCTCTGGTGGCCTAGTGGCAAGAAGCTGCACTGCAATCCCAGAGGTATGTGGTTTGAATCCACCAGATGCTCTGCTGAAGAAGGAGGGGCAGTCTCCTCCAGTCAGATCTGATTTGACAGGACACATACAAAAAGTAACAAAAAATTAAAAAAAAAAACCCAAAAACAAAACAACAACCAAACGCATTCTTAATTCTCATATGAGGGAACTTAAGGACTCAGAGAGGTGAGGTGCTGGAGCTTGCCCGGTGTTAGGTGGCTCAGTCAGTAGCCTTTCTGCCCTTCTGAAGTTGTGCAAACCACTGTGGTGTATTCACTTGGTACAGCTTTCCATGCTCAGTCATTAGGTGGTTTTGCTTAGCTCATAATAATCTTCAATTCCTTTCCTGAAGATCAATCAGTTGTCATAGGTTCATGTAGCTTTTCACTCTTAATATTTTTGCTCGCATTATATATCTACTGGCCTGCCTTATCTAACCCTAAATCATTGCTGTACCATATTATTGCATCAGGCCTAATGCCATTTTAGTCTTTTTTGCACGCTACACACAACACCTAACACTAAAACCTGCAGTCATCTTTCTGCAAAAGTAAATATCATTACTCATGTTACTCCTGTTTCTTTACATTTTCTGTTGTTACTAGGTTATAATCCAAATCTTGTAACTTTGCGTGGACTCTTTACACTTTGACTCCAACCTTAATGTCACTAGTTACATAATCTGTCTTTCCAGTATGCTCTGTACCCTTAGTTTTCACTACATGCCTTTATGGACATGCATGCTGTGTGTGGCACTTTTTCTTGGCACACACTTTTTCCTATCCTAGAATGCCAAACTTCACCAAATGTCTTTGTTGTAATGCTGGTATAACAAAAGTACCTCAAGTTGGCCATGCTATGCAATTTAATTTTTGTCTTATGTATAATGGAAGTAATTGAACAGTTACAAGTGGGAGAATACTGTAAATCAGCTTAAAATTCTAAAAGATTTCTTTTGGCTATGGATAAAAGATAGCCAAGGATAGGTGTGGAAGAAGAGGTGAAATTGAGATTTTGAGTTTGTGTCTTCTGCCATCATTGATAGGATTGGAGCTGATGATATGTAGCAGATCTGATAGGAGTGGTCAGTGAGTGGACCAGGAGGAAGAATCCAGGATAATGCTTGAGTTTTTGTTAAGAGAGACATGATTAGGCTAGGAGCCAGTTTGAGGGAAGAGAAGCATTAAGAGTTCTGTTTGGACATAATATGCTTGAAATACCTCAGTAAACAGTTGGATATATGAGTCTGGAGCACAAGACTGAGACTGATGATATAAACAGAATGATAAAATCCGGGCTGGTGAGGATATCAAAACCCTGGAAGCAATGAAATCACCTAGGGAGAGGCTGCAAATAGATAAAATCACTGATTACTAAGCCCAAATCTAATGCAGTAGTTAGTGTTTTAACAGAGAAAGAGAAGCAGCAGAAAGACAACCAAATGTACACTAGTGATAAGAATGCTCTGGGAAGCAAAGTTTATTCTTTGTACCTATGATCTAGTTCTTGTAAAAGGACATTAAGCTTGGAAAACTTGGAGGATCACCAAAGCAGAGGCTGAACCAATGATACAGACTGACACAGTGACTGCAAAGGTGGCTTTAAAGATAACAAAGATTGTGAGGATGACTCACCAGGATTGGATTCTGTGATATGCAGGCTTGGAGTCAACATGGACTCAGGAGCACCTAACAACAACAACAATGTTGAGTTAAAAGAAGCAGGGGATCTCTGGTGGCCTAGTGGCAAGAAGCTGCACTGCAATCCCAGAGGAGCATGGTTCGAATCCACCAGATGCTCTGCCGGGAAAGGAGGGGCAATCCCCTCCTGTACCAGTCAGATCTGATTTGACGGTACACGCACATGCACAAATAATAAAATTTTAAAAAAATTAAAAAAAAAAAAAAGAAGCGAGATAGAGAGAGCATGAGTAGAGATAAAGAGACAGAAAAGGAGACCTGGAAAGGCAAGCAGAAAACTAGAAGTAAGTATATCCCAGAAGTCAAGCAAAGGAAAAACTAGAATTAGGTCATTTTCAGTGGTGTTGTATGCTATGCTCCCTGTACAAAAGAATTTGACTGTAGAGGTCATAGTTCCAACATTGTGAAGAAAGGGAATTACTAAACACTTCACTATGTGGAAACTATACTTGAGCCAAGGTGCAGGACTTCTAACAAACAAGAGACATTACATGGCTTAAAAAGAGGGTAAGTATGTACTAGGATTGCAACCTTTCACAAACAAGGGACACTACATGGCTTAAAATGAGGGTAAGTATGTACTAGGATTGCCATCTTTCACCATCTCTTTGATAAGCAGATAATCTGAGAAGATAGATTTTATGAAGAAGAATGTGGCCTCAAGACTGGAGGAAGAGTCATGTACAATCTGTGTTCTCTAGATGGCACTGCCTTACTTGCTTAAAGTGAAGAGAACTTGAAGCACTTGATGATGCTCAAACACTATAGTCTTTATTATGGGTTATACCTCAACCTCAAGAAAACAAAAATTCTCACAAGTGGACCAGTAACCAGCATAATGCTTCAAATTGCCAGAGCAGCACAGCCTTTGGGTTACCAGTGCAGTTCTTTATACCTCCAGGGATCCCATAGAAGCACTAATCAAGAAATGAAGTATTACAACCAGCAAAACTCTCCCAGGGACTCTTTAAAGAGCAAGGATGTCAATTTAAAGACTAATGTGTGGCTGATCCAAGCTAAGAATTGATGCCTGTGAATTGTGGTTTTGGCAGAGAATATTGAATATATCCTAGACTGCCAAAAGAATAAGCAAGTCTGTTTTGGAAGAAGTCCAGTCAGAATGCTCAGTTGAAGCACGACGAGTGAGATTATCTGGGATAACTTTAGGCAGGTTATCAGAAGGGACAAGCTCTTGGAAAAGAATATCATGCTTGGAAACATAGAAGGTCAGGGAAGGAAAGGGAGACTGAAGAAAATGAGTTGAGACAGTGATGGGGAAATTCTGACGATCATACAAGATAGGTAAGGTTTACTTCTACTTAAAGTTGATTATGAACCACAGCTGACGCCCAAAAACCCAACTGGAATTAAAAGTCAATTAGGAAGTATCCTGAAATAATAATAAAGTGATTGAAAACAGAAAATATGGTAACTAGAGCACCTTAGCCTCTAGGACAGCAGAGAATTAAATGATTTTTTGTCTTCATTGCATTATATTTTAGCTTCCAAGGTTTGGAATGGAGAATACTTGGTAGGTCACAAAAGTGCCTTTGAACCAGCAGCTGATAAACCCTTGTTACAATTACAGACTGTAGAGATAGCAATAGTCTATCAATTGGTAGAGCAAAGTAGAAAAAACCAAAACACACCTGGAACAAAAACATCTCTGTTTATTTGACTTACCACCCAGGTTGATATGAGCTAATTAAGCCTCCTTTGGTATAAGAACTTTAGTATTTTATAAAATGGATTTCCCCCTGTCCTTTCACGAGATGACACAAAATTTTAAAAAGTCTGTAATTTCCGTGCCATCTAAAAATAGCTTCCAGTAAAATTAATGATAAAATAATTTAAGCTTTGGTTTGAAAAGTATGAATAACATTGTAGAAAAAGTATGCCATAACACTAAATGATGTAGTGTCTAGACATTATTTTATGAGTAACTTATACAGTATTTTTTTTTCCTGGTAATACGTAACTTCGTGTTTTCCCAGTTCCTGATGTCAGTCGAAATGGAGACCCGTTTGTAGCCACATCAATTGTTGAAGCAATTGCAACTGTTGACAGAGCTATAAATTCAACCCGTACACATTTGTTTGACAGGTACTGTGAAGCATTAAAACTCTGATCCTCAAATTGCTGAGCTTTGAGGATTGAAAAAAAAAGTGCATGAAATTCATTTTAACATTTTAACATCACTGTTATATCTGAAGAAAAACTTTTCATTTAAAAGCTACAGACACTATGAATATCAGATTATTTTCTGGGGATTATGATAATAGAAAGACTTTTTTCTCAAATAGATGCTGAACTATGACTCATCCTTTTTTAAAAAAGTTAGCGCACTCATTTGGCTTGTTCCTAAATGATTTGGCAAAAACAAAAATATTTTTAAAGCCATTAGTGTACTTACCTAATGTTAGGAATTAGAAAATGTTTTTCTGCATTTTAATTGAAATAGAATGCCTGTGTTTTTCTCTCTTGATGTAATTAATTATTTGTTTTTAGTGTCTTGATTTTTGTTTTGTTGCCTTCGCTTCGGATAAGGAAGGTACAGTACATCACATCTGTATAAAGGTAGCTAGTGAAGTATTAAAAAGCAGTAATTAGATTTTGGAATGTTAGTGATTTTTACCTTATTTTTCATTTGTTCTTTGTGGTAATGACTTTTTTCCTTCTTTTTTTCCCCCCTCTTTAAATTCCTGGTAGTCGTCCTCGCTCTCCGAATGACTTGCTGGCCTTGTTCCGATATCCACGAGATCCCTACACTGTTGAACAAGCAAGAGCAGGAGAAATATTTGAAAGGACTTTACAACTTATTCAGGAGCATGTGCAGCATGGATTAATGGTTGACCTAAATGGAACAAGTTAGTATTGAATTTCCTCTTTCTTACTTTCTCATCCTCTTACTTACATACCATAGGTATTGAGTGTTGACAGGAGTGTCATCCAATACTATGTATTATTTATGATGAAATGTTTGCACTTTTCTGTTACGCTATATTTATGAATTATAAAATATTTTTTTAAATGCAGATTCTCTTGAAAAAATAAGATCATCCTCCTGTGTAATTCAAGGTCTGAACTCAGAGTGCAAATTGCTTTACAAACTCAAAAAAAAAAATAAGATCATACAGTTCTCACTTTTGAGCTAACAAAAAATCTTTTTAGACATGCCTTACTTGTCAGGTTATATTTTAGGTGGACGGACAGCACAGGAGAGGTAGTGCCCAGATGAGATGGATTCATACATTAATTAGTTAATGGGGGTTGGTGTGTTGGAATTAGTGAGACTCACTCAGGACAGGGAAGGGTCCAGAGCTGCTGTACACAGGTCGCTACGCATCTCAGGCGACTCAGCAGCTCATTAACAATAAAATACTGTGACAGGTTTGGAAGCAGCAGTGGTATCCACTTCCTAAACTACATACCTTCAGAAGCTCTATGAACTTTGATAAATGACAGTAGTTGTAGAAGGGCTTCAGGCCTTTTGTCCATAGGGTCACTATGAACTCAACTCGAAGGCAATCAAAAACAATCAACAACATAACATTGTCACTAACTTGTAGAGACCTAGTGTACAGCAGAATGGACCTTACCCAGTTCCTCCTATCCATATAACCCATGCTGTGCTAAAGACTGTTGTTGCGGCCACTGTGTTAATACATCTTGTTGAGAGTCTACCTTTTCTCCCGCAGCTTTCCACTTTACCAACCGTTGTGTCCTTCTCTAGGGACAGGCCTCTCCTGATGACATGACCATGACAGTTATGCTCACATCTCTCTTCTGCTAAGGCAGTATGTGACCTTCACAATGTTGTTGTTGTGGCTGGCCTATCCTCTAAAGGAGATTTCATGGAAGACCTTGTAAAAAAATTATTATATGCAATGATATATGCATAAAATTACATGCCATGCATCTGTTAAAATGATGTTTATTAGGAGTTCATGCGTCTGTTAAACAAGGTAATTAAGCCACCTCTGGACTGGTGTGAGGATTATATGAAGTGATCTATGACGTTCAGTTGCTTTCATTTCTGGCACATGGTTATTGCCCATTAGTAAGAGTTACCGTTGTTATATATCATTACTTTAAGATTTTACTGTGGTATAATATAGATAAGGAAAAATTGCCTTTTTAATAATTTTTAAATATATATAATTTAGTGAACTTTAATTACAGTCACCATGTTATACAACTAACCCCACTATCTATATCCAGAAATTTTTATTAACCAAACAGAAATCCAGTTACCTTGAAGAATAACATCTCTTTCTTCGCTACTCCTAACCACTGATAATCAGTAATGAACTTTTGTCTCTTGTGCGTTTTCCTATTTTGAATGTTTCATATATTTGATGGTAGTGGCTCTCCCTCATAGCACCTTTTGTACAAGTGAGTAAAACCCTGTCTAGTACTGCGCCATCCTCACAGTCTGCTGTGCTCATTGTTGCAGTCACAGTGGCAGTTTGTCTCGTGGAAAGTCTATTTTTTATGTTTCTCTATGAAGTCTTTCAGCCTTTGCTTCTAACCAGACCTCTGGCTGCATTTTTTCCAAAGCAGATTTGTTTGTTCTCTTGGCAGTTGTTATGCTCACGATTCTTTGCCAACACCACAATTGAGAGGCATCGGTTCTTCTTCCCTCTGCTTTATTCATTATCCACATTTCTCATATATATCAAACAATTGAAAATGACATGGTTTGGCTCAGTTTCACCTTAATCTTTAAAATAGCATCTTAGCTTTCTGTAGCACTTTAAGGAGATCATTTCCATTATAACCTTGTCTTAAGGTATCTTTTCAATGATACTGTTAGGTGCCATTGAATGGACTTGAACTCAGAGTGACCCTATGTGTACATAACAAAATCCTGCCTGGTGTGGGTCATCCTTCAAATGCCTGCTGTGCTCCGGACCACCATTACCGTCACTTTGTCCATCCATCTTGCTGAGAGTTTTTTTGTTTTTTTTTGTCAGTCCTCAATATTATTGAACCTGGAGTCTTTTTCCAGACATTGATCCCTCTGAATATCATACTGAAGTATGTGAAACAAAATTCTTCATTCTTGTTTCTAAGGAGTATTCTGGCTATATTTCTTCAAAGATGGATTTTTTTAAATTTTTTTTTTCAATTCATGGTATATTTAGTAGTTTTCACCAGAGTCACAATTAGAAGATATCAGTTCTTCTTTGGTCTTTCATTCATTATCTATTTTTCACATGCATATGAGGTAAATAAAAACACTATGATTTTAGTCTTTAAAATGACATCTTTGCTTTTTATCACTTTGAAGAGGTTTTTGGCTGTAGACTTTTCCAGTGTAATAAGTAATTTGATTTTTTTTTTTATTCTTTTTTTCTTGGGTGTTGATTGTGGATCCAAGTAATATAATCCTTGACAGTTTTAGTCATTTCTCCACTCATTGTGATGTTGTTTATTGGTCTAGTTAGGATTTTTGTTTACTTTATACTGAAGGCTGTTGTCATTCAATCACTAAGTACTTCAGGTCTGTATTTTTTGTCAGCAGATTCCCCTGATATGAGTATCACAGATCATTAATTAACCAATTAATTAGAGTCTTCCTCTGATCCTGATGCTGTTTTCTTCTTGCCAGCTCAAAAGTGCATGGCTTGATTCCACACTCTGCTCTATAGACAAAGATGGGCGATCTCTTCCTCTGCAATTTACAGACTCTGGAAAACCACTGGAGAGTTAGCTCTTGAGCTGTTTCTAGTTTGACACCATACAACAACAATGAGTAAATTTTTAACTCATTTTATCTAAAAGACTTACTCACTAAAGACAAGGTTGAAAAGGAAAGCAAGCATACCGAACCAGTAATCCCAGAAGTTAAAGAGACCTGGTGGCTTAGGGATTGATATGTTGAGCTATTAACCTCAAGATTAGAAATTCAAATCTACCAGTCATACCATAGAAGAAACATGAGTAATCTCTTCTCAGAAGGATTTATAGTTTCAGGAAACAGGTGGAAGGTTGCAGTGAATTGGATTTTCTATATTGGCAGAGAGTTGCTAAGTGCTGGTTTGTTGTTTAGATTTTGGTGTGGTATGTAACTTGTATGTTCGGTTGGCAACACATCCTTACCCACTAAGTCATCAGAACTCATTTAAAATCGTATTGCTGTGTATTGTTCTTGCTGTGTCTTGTGGAGTTGTGACCAACCCACAGCTGACTCTAGCCGATTTTCAGACGTGGTGGATCACACAGGCAGAGACTTTTCCTCCACAAAGCAGCAGGTGGATTAGAACCACATACTTTTGCATTGACAGCACATTTCTTTACAACTAAGCCACCAATAGTTATTGCTGTTGTTGTTGTTATTATTATTATGCGTGATAGTGTTGCCTGCGACTCATAGTGACCTATGTACAATAGCTCTTCCCTGTTGTAAGCCAGTCTCACTAACTCTGACCCATCTACCTCCATTACTGCAGTTACTGTGTCAATCCATCTAATCCAGGGTCTTCGTCTCCGCTGCTGTCCCTCCACACTTCCATGCATGATGTCCTCCAAGGTCAGTCCAAAATATATGAAAGGGAGCTTCAAAATTCTAGCCTCCAAGGAGAAATTTGATTTCACTCTCTCCAAAGCAGACCTATTTATTCTTTGGTGATCTATGGTATGTTCAGTCCTCAAGCAGCATAACTGAATGAGATCAATTCTTGCTCTGTCATCCTTGGTCGTAGTTCAGCACTCTGATGCATAGCAAGTAATTGTGAATACTGGCCAGGATCAAGCACTCCTTAGTCCCTAGGCTGACATCATCACTTTTCAGCACTTTGGAGAGGTCCCTGACAGCAGGCTTCCCCAGTGCAATTCATTTTTTTTTTTTTTGACTGCTGGTGCCAACGGTGTTGATTGTGGAGCTGAGCAAACGGAAATTGTTAACAATCTCAGTCTCTTCTTCATCTATCATGGTGCTGCCAATTGGCCCAGTAGTGATAATTTTTATCTTCTTGATGTTTAGCTTAAATCCATATTGAAGACTACTGTCCTTGAACTTCTGCAGCAAACACTTCAGGTCCTCTTTAGTTTTGGCAAGCAAGCTGTGTCCTCTGTATGTTGCAGGTTGTTGATGAGTCTTCCTGCAATCCTGATGCCACATTGCTCCTTATAAAGCCCAGCCTCCTGAATGATCTGTTCTGTATGCCATTGAAAAAGTATGGTGACAGGATTCATCCTTGGCATACTCCTTTCCCATATTTGAACCAAGCAGTGTTTCCTCCTCAGTTCTGAGGACTCCATCCTTATCCATAGGTTTTGCATAAGCACAATCAAGTGTTCGGGGATTCCCATTCTCCTCAAGGTTAGCCACAATTTATTGTTATCCACATAGTCAAACGTCTTTGTATATTCAGTGAAACACAGATAGACATTCCTCTGGTATTCTCTGCTTTTGACCAGGATCCATCTGACATTGGCAATGATATCCCTATTGCCATGGCCTTTTGCAAATCGACCTTGTGTTTCTGATTGTTCTCTTTTGATGTACTTACTGTTCCAATCATTTTTGGATACTCTTAAGCAGGACTTTGCTTGAGTGTGATACTAGTGATACTGTTTGATAATTTCCATACTCTGTTGGGTCACCTTCTTTGGAATGGGCATAAATATCAGTCTCATCCAGTCAGTTGGCCAGGTAATTGTCCTCAAGATTTCTGGGCACAAGAAATAGTGAGCATGTCCAGGGCAGCATCTGTTTGTTGAAATAGGTTAATTGTTAATTGATATTCTATCAATTCCTGGGTGTGTTTTTTTTTTGTTGTTGTGTTTTTTTGTTTGTTTTTGGGTTTGTGGTTTTTGGGTTTGTTTTGTTTTGTTTTAATTTCTTAAGCGCTGCTTGAAT